ATTCTCGTTGTTGTTGTTGTTGGTGGTGGTGTTGTTGTTGTTGTTGTTGTTGTTATTGTTGTTGGTGTTGTTGTTGTTGTTGGTGGTGTTGTTGTTGTTGTTGTTGTTGTTGGTTGTTGGTTGTTGGTTGTTGGTTGTTGGTTGTTGGTTGTTGTTTGTTGTTTGTTGTTTGTTGTTTGTTGTTTGTTGTTTGTTGTTTGTTGTTTGTTGTTTGTTGTTTGTTGTTGTTTGTTGTCGTCGTCCCACCCGCAACCCGCCCCGCGACCCACCCGCGACCCAACCCGCGACCCACCCGCGACCCACCGCGACCCACCCGCGACCCACCCCGCGACCCACCCCGCGACCCACCCCGCGACCCACCCCGCGACCCACCCCGCGACCCACCCCGCGACCCGCCCGCGGCCCACCCCGCGACCCACCCGCGACCCACCCGCGACCCACCCGCGACCCACCCGCGACCCACCCGCGACCCACCCCGCGACCCACCCGCGACCCACCTTCGACCCAAACCACGTTCAAGGTACAAACCACCATTTTCGGCGCCTGCGGCGGGTTTTTTTTGCATTCCTTCCAGGCGGAGAGCCCGCGACCCACCCCGTGACCAACTCGCGACCAACCCGCGACCAAAACCACGTTCAGGGTACAAACCACATTTTTGGGCGCCTGCGGCGGGCATTTTTTGCATTCGTTTCAGGTGGAAGGCCCGCGGCCCACCCGCGGCCCACCCGCGATCACGTCCAGGGTACAAACCACATTTTTCGGCGCCTGCGGCGGGCATCTTTTGCATCCGTTCCCGGTGGAGAACCCGCGGCCCACCCGCGACCCAAACCACGTTCAGTGTACAAACCAATGTTTGTTGGCGCCTGCGGCGGGCTGCTTTTGCATTCCTTCCAGGTGGAGGTGGAGAGCCCGCGACCCATCCGCGACCTAAACCACGTTCACTGAACAAACCAATGCCGCACAAGCGCGGCGGCGGATTTTTGCATGCCGTCTGAGCCCGCAAGGACCTCTTCAAGCCCCGCGCATCCGCACCAGCCCGTCCAGCAACTTTGCCCTGGCGAGTTGCCTCGATCAAAAAGGATTGCGTTGCAGTTATCTTGGGAAAAAGAAGGGGAGGCAGGAGGAGTAAACAGGGGACGAGGAGAACGCTGAAGAAGAGAGGATGGAAGGAGAATGTGGAGAGAGAAAAGGAGGAGGAGGAGGAGCAGGAGGACGAGGAGGGGGAGGAGGGGGAGGAGGGGGAGGAGGAGGACGAGGAGGGGGAGGAGGGGGAGGATGATGATGATGGACGACAATGGGAGGACGATGATGGAGGCCGATGAGGGGGAGGACGACAATGGGAGGACGATGATGAAAGGACGAGGGGGGGAGAGGGAGGACGAGGAAGAAGAGGAGGAGGACGAGGTGGAGGAGGAGGATGACGATGACGATGAGGACGAGGACGAGGACGAGGAGAGGAGGAGGAGGAGGAGGAGGAGGAGGAGGAGGAGGAGGAGGAGGAGAGCACCATCGACAGGGAAGGTGGGGGCCACGAGGTCCGCCGGCTCGACGACGCCCGCGTCGCCCGCGCCCGCCCCCTCACTCTTATCCGCAATTGCGGGGTGCTACGTACCGATGGGGACGCGATGTCCATCCCCCCCACACCTACGCCACGCCAATGGGTGCGCAAACTGGGAACCTGAGCCTCTGGAGGCGACTGGAGGCCTCCCGTGACCTCCAGAGGAGAGAGAACCCCAAGAGACCGCCAGGGACCTCCAGAGGGCGGCGTCTACGACGACGGCGACCACCTACCAGAATCCGCTCCAAACCGTTCCCCGGAATCCCTTCCCAGATCGATTTCCGACTGCCCAGGGGCCAAAAGACGGCCTCCAAACGCCGACGACGACGACGGCGACGACGACGACGACGACGACGACGAAGACGACGACGACGACGACGACGACGACGACGACGACAACGACCACGACCACGACCACGACCACGACGACGTCGTCGACGACGGGGGCGGAGGCGGCGGAAGCGGCGGTGGCGGCGGAAGCGGCGGCCTCGATGGCGACATCGACGACGGCGACGGCGGCGGCGGCATCGACGACGGCGACAGCGACGTCGGCGGCGGAGACGCCGTCGACGACGACGACGACGACGACGACGACGACGACGACGACGACGGCGACGGCGACGGCGACGGCGACGGCGACGGCGACGACGACGACGACACCGACGACGACGGCGACGACGAAGACGACGAAGACGACGAAGACGACGAGGACGCCGAGGACGCCGACGACGACGACGACGACGACGACGACGACGACGACGACGACGACGACGACGGTGGAGGGCAGCGGCCGCGACAGCCGCAACAGCGACGGGGCTCAGGGCCCCGTGAACGAAGACTTAGGCAAACCAAGACACTGCGGCCTCCAGGAGAACTGCAGACGCGGGCCGAGACACCCTCCGTCCTCCGCCTCCTCCCACTGGATCTTGCAGAGTCTTGGCGTGCAGCACCCTGGCATCTGGGACCCTGAGGACCAACGACTTCGTCAACGACGGCACCGACGGCAACGCTGGAGGGACGACAACGTCGACGGTGGCGGCGGCAGCCTCGGCGGCGGCGGCCGCGACGGCGGCGGAGGGACGGCCGCGGGGTGTCCTCCAGAGCACACGGCCGCCCTCCTCCAGGGGGGTCAGAAAGCGTCCCCGGCCCCAGAAGTGCCCCCAGGACCTCCCAGGGTACACGGATGGCTTCCGGAGCACCCCTCATGCGGCCCAGGGTGATTAACCAAAAAAGGACCCCTAACCCTTTGGGAGGGGACTTAAGTCAGGCCAAGAACATTAGGGATAGAGAGTCTTCTCTGCAGGTGTATCGAACCAAACCGCCCAGACCTCTTCTCCCTACTGCAAAGACGGGGACATCAGTGAGGCCACGTCTGCACTGTGTTATTACGTAGGGTGAGGGGCTCTTTTATTCTCGATAACAGGAGGGGGGTGGCCCCAGAGGCTCAAAGATGGCGCGAAAAGCTAGGGGGCACCCTGGGTCAGGGACACCTCCAGGTCGAGCGTGTCCTCCTACAGGCGCATGTTGGAGGAAAAATAAAAACAAACAAACAAAATCAAGAATAATCAAAAATAGTAGACAAAACGTCCCCAGACTATTGTTAAACTATGTTTGAATATTCCTCCTGTACATCGGCCCAATGAAGGTTCCTCGAGTTTTCGTCATACCGCCCGCTAGCGGAAGCCGACGGAAGTAAAACGATGCGGAAGACGTCCGAAGGCCGTTGGAAGACTTGCGGAAGACAGCGGAAGTCAATGCCGCCTTGCCCGAACCCCCCTACCCCCGTGGAAGCCTAGCAATGTAGTCTTCTCCCGTGGGCCGGGCGGGATCCCGCCTAGCGTACCCCCTTTCAACATTATAATCTTACTTCAGCCAGATTTAGACCCCATCCATTAAAAATAGTGTAAATAATTATCCCA